GTTGCTACTTCATAACTGTAATGTTGCTACTGTTATGAATCATCATGTAAACATCTGCAGGATGGTCTTAGGTGACCTCTGTGAAAGGGTCTTTCGACCGCCAAAGGGGTCGCGACCCACAGGTTGAGAACCGCTGCTTTAGGGGTTGCTGGCCAACCCCACTCCCGGGCCTGTGCCAACTGGCCGGCCTCCGAGTCCCCGTAAACCTGCTGCTGGATGGTCCCAGGCTCCCCTTCCTCTGCGGTGAGGCTGCCCGGGAAGGTGGTCTGTGCCTGGAACTGACTTTGTTTCCAGGAGACCTGGTTTCTCTGCAGAAGTGTCCCATGTCATTTGTGCCGATTCCAAAGAGGAGACGGGCTCCCTTAGAGCGTCCGAGCTCTGATCAGCTTTCTGGGGCCAACCAGCCGTGGCTCTTTTTATTTGAGTTTTTGAAACTGAGGGAAAAGGGGTCTCTGTTTGGTGGAAGGGCCCCGGGCTGTGGCGAGAGCCACAAACTGGCTGAACTCGAGGTGGGAGGGGAGGAGTGATGTGTTAATGAGCTCAGCGATCAGAAGTCACCCGGGTTTTATGTGTTAAGCCCTTTGGGCAAATGGAAGAAATGTTTATTTGCAGCGCGGCTGGGAGCTTTTGCTCCATAAGGTCTTCAGCCTTCGGATGATTGAGGTTGTTATCAGTCCGGTTTGGCAGAGAGGACTCGTTTAAGAATGTCCGTTATAGTGGGAATGGTCCTCTTCAGGGCCAGCCTGCAGACACCTGCGCTCCAGGCCCGCGCCTGCCCTGGAAGCGGGTCTCCGCATCCTGCAGTGGGTCACATGCCAGTGCCTGTGGGCACGGCGCCCCAGGAAGGGCACACGAGTAAATAGGAGCAGACAGCCACAGAGCTGATTCCTAACAGAGAGGAGAGGAGAGGAGAGGAGAGGAGTAGCAGCGCATGCTGACCCCCATCTGCACAGCAGGGAGTGCTTGTTGTGTAGATAACAAACCAGGCCTCCCCGGAGGAGAAAGGAGCCGGCTCAGGGGTGTCATTTTCTCCCTCCTTCTTAAGTGACCAGCTGACCTTCGCACCAGTCCTTTCCCCTTTCCGATGGCACAGGGTGAGGGTTGGTATCTGTGTCATCCCCAAGCCTGGTTCCGTGCTAGGCTGCAGGGAGGGGCTGGCCGGCCTGGGCCAGGCAGGGAACCTACAGAGGTCCTGCCAAAGTGGGGGAGCAGCTCACAGCCCTGCCCGGGGGACCCACAAAGCTGGCAGGGCCCTCTGTGGATGTCTTGCTTTGCATGAACTGGCTGTGTCTGTGAGCAGAGCACTAAGGAAGCAATCAGGCCGCACTCCGTTCTGTTTTGTAGTGATGTCATGGTTCACTCCCCATTCGTGCTTCTCTTGTTTCTAAGGCCAGTGGGATTCTTCCTCACTCCTGAGCCTGTTAAACACCAAACTCTTGACCACTCTCCCCACCCCCACCCCCCTACCCCGCTTGGCTGCTGCATCATAAATGGGGAACCCCAGGAGATCAGGGTGGTCCTTGCTGCCTCTCTCCTCCACATCCAGTCAGTCATGGAGTCTGAAGGTTTCTCCCCGGCCTGGGCCTCGAGCAGGTCTCCGCCCCTCTGGGAGTCCCCCATGAGCCTCGCTGCCCTTTCCCCGCTCGGGTCAGGGGCCAGCTTTATAAAGTTTCTCCGAGGCCCCTGCGCCTCCTCTTCACAGTACTCCGCTTTCAGCTATGCTTCTTGATCTGGTGTAATTTCCCATCTTCTCCCCTGGAAGGTGAACCTGGTGAAGGCAGGGAAGGGCTCTGTTTATCATCAATTCTAATACAGAGGAGGCGCTCAGTAATTACTTGTCAGTAAGTGACTTTTAATTAGATCCGGATTAAAATTTAAGAAAATGCTGGGCGTGTTTAAGTGGGTGATTCCAGACTAGTGGTTTATTTTAAATTTGGCTGAAAACACATTGACTTGGTCTGTTCCAGGGGTTCTCAGACTTGGCACCGTTGGCACTGTGTCTTGTAGGCCGTCGTGTGCCTTGCAGGGTGTGGAGCAGCATCCCTGGCCTGCACCCACTGGATGTCAGGAGCAGCCCCCATTCTGACACCCAGAGGTCTCCAGAGAGTGCCCGTTGTCCCCTGGGGGGCGAGGTCGTCCCTAGGTGAGCATCACTGGTCTGCACACAGGGATCCTTGGCGTGCCCCCACGGGCACTCACATGGGGCTCGGCTCCCAGTGGGTTGGACATGTGGGTGGGCAGAGGGCTGAGCTCCTGCCGAGCACCCCGGGCCTGAATGGGAGTGTCCCCAGTGAGCACTGAGTGCAGGCCGAGCTTGGGTGCTGCAGCCTTTGGTAAACAGTGTAATCCTGGCCCCTCCTTGCTGGCCGCCTCCTCCCTGGGCAGTGTTTTCATAACTGTCGGGGACGCCTGGGAGCGTGTTGTGTCCCAAAGGGGAGGCAGATCAATAGGAAACGGACTTTCTGGCAGGACCCTATAGTAGGCCAGGGAGTAGGAGTGGGTGCAGGTGGCGCGCAGGTGCATCCAAGCTCTGGAAGACCCCGTGGTGGGAGCTAGCTGGTTTTGGGTAGGCGTAAGGCTGCTTGTATTGGAGTCTGCATTCTGGGGGTGGGGGGTCCTCGAGGCCGCCCCAGCCTGTTGCCTGTGTGTTCCCAGCTCCATGTGACATGTCTGGGCTTGTGGTTCTGAGCTTTTTCCTTAGGAGCATATCGGGAAGGCAGGTTCCCCAGCTCCCACCCAGAACCCATTCTCCAGGAGCTGGGCTTGGGAACCGCCAACCTGCATCACTGTGGTCAAGCTCTGTCCTCATAGGATTTGGCCTTTTTCCCGAATGTGCTTGGAGACTTTAGTCTAAAATGCTAACACCGACCAAGGCCCTGGGATCTAGTCTGCAAATCCACAGGCTGCTCCAGGAAGTGACCTTAGACCCGGGGTTGCACACCTTCTTGAAGGGCTAGAGAGTAAATATTTCAGGCTGTGTAGGCCGGAGGGTCTTTGTTGCAACTACTCATCTCTTCCTGGAGTGTGAATGCAGCTGCAGCCACAGGAATGGGTGAGACTGTCTTCCGGGAAGACGGGCAGGCTGTGGACAACTGTTTGGCAGATTCTCAAAAGGCTAAACATAGAACTATCACATGACCCAACAGTTCACTCCTAGATGTATATCCCAAGTGAAAGCAGGCACTGGAACAGATACTGTGTACCATGCATTCCCAGCAGCATTAGTCACGATGGCCCAGGGGTAGGGAACCTTCTCCTGACAGGGGCCATGTGGGTATTTATAGCATCATTCCCAGGCCATACAAAATTACCAACCTAAAACTAAGCCTGCTGTGTTTGGTCAGACATTTAATTAACTCACCCTCAATGCCTTGGCAGGGCCAGACCAAATGATTTCGCAGGCCTCATACGGCCCGCGGGCCTGATGTTCCCCATCCCTGCAATAGCCAAAAGGTGGAAACAACACAGGTGTCCATCAGTAGGTGAGTGGCAATGTGGTGTGTTCCTGCGATGGAATATCATACAGCCATTGAAAAGAGTGGCGTTTTGGCATGTGCCACAACACAGATGGACCTCAATTGAAAGCATTGTGATTAGTGAAACAGGCCCAGTTACTGATTCCACTTCTGTGAGGCCCCTAGAGGAGGCAACTCCTATAGCCAGAAAGTAGGGAAGTGGTTGGTGGGGTGGATCCTGGGAGAAAGTGTTACGTGGAATGGGTGCAGAATTTCTTTGGGGGATAATGCAAAACTTTCGTGTGTAGATAGTGGTGATAGTTGTACAACATTGCTACGGTATGTAATGCCTTTGAATTGCACACATATGAATGGTTAAAATGACACAGCGTATATTATGTATATTTCACTATAGATTAAAAAATGGTTGACAAAAAGTGGTTCTCAGGCAGCATTCTGCAGCCCCTGCATTAGACGAATGTGCCATTGATTTAACTTTGGGGTTGGACTTAGGCATAACTGGGCCACCTAAATTGTTGGCCTTAACAAAAAAAAGGTGGGTTAGATTCTTCATGTGGATAATTTGTTACAACTTTCAGTGGGACCTCAACTTCTCCTCCCTCATCCAACAGAAGGGATTCCCAGCATCCACCTCCTCCCCTGGTCCCTGAGCGGGATTTGGCTCCGCGCTGCCTGTGGCTTTTCAGATAATAACTGGGTGTGCTTGGATAGCTGTGGGACTGAAGATCGTGGGCAGCCCAGAATTCAATTGCTCCACATTCAAGTGAGCCACTGGGTGTGTTTTAGTAATTTTGTCAGCTCTGTGGACCAGCTTATCTCTTTGGCCGCGGTGCTTTGTGTTGTGGCCAGGTGACCAATGTGCGTTGCTCACGCCGTTGACATTTTGCAGGGAGCGCTTGGAGCTTTTGGAAGAAGCCAAGAAGATGGAGATGGCCAAGTTCCGATACATCCTGCCTGTGTATGGCATTTGCCGCGACCCTGTTGGCCTGGTCATGGAGTTCATGGAGACGGGCTCCCTGGAGAAGCTGCTGGCCTCCGAGCCATTGCCGTGGGACCTGCGCTTCCGCATCATCCACGAGACGGCGGTGGGCATGAACTTCCTGCACTGCATGTCCCCACCGCTGCTGCACCTCGACCTCAAGCCCGCGAACATCCTGCTGGACGCGCACTACCACGTCAAGGTAGGGCCTCCCGTGGGGTCGGGGGCGGGGCGGTGAGTGCCGCGAGAGCGCAGGGGAACTCGGGGTTCAGGGGAACCCTCAGGCAGTGTGGACAAGGGTGGACGAGGATGTGGTCCTCATGGAAGAGAGCTTGAGCAGAGAGGCCTCTCTTAAGCCTCAGGATGTCTGGAATCCCCTTGTGTTATCATGGTTGGTGTGAGTGGACTCTGAACGCAGGTCATACCCCCAAATCCTGGAACCTGGCTCTAAATTCTGCACACCCCGGCAAAAGATTGTGGATTTGCGGGTCTGGTTTTAGTGGATGTCCTAGGAAATGGCCTGAGAGATCACGCGGGGGTTGGCCGTCTCGGTGTGAGACATAGTTTGGGGCAGTATCCCTCGCTGGTTGCAGGGGCTGGCGGAGGGGATGTGGGGTGCTCTGAGATGGAGGTGCAGTCCTGGCACGGGGCTCTGATGGGGCTCATTCTGTTCCAGTGACGTGAGGCCTGTGAGGGCTGCTCTTTCTTACTCTGTTTCTGATAAGTTTATAAAACAAAAGTATGAAGAAGAACAGAACTAAAACACAGATGCCAGCCACCTGGAGTTGGTAGTCAGGTGCGTTGTCAGGTTGGTGTGTCTGTGAATGTGTCTCTGGCAGGCCTTCATGTGCTGGGTTCTTCATGGTTCTTCCCCACATGGGGATGCTCACCTTCTCGGGGGGCCCTTTCCCTTCATCCTGCATGAGTGAGAAGGACTCCATCCACACTGGCCTGAGTCCTCTGGTTCACTTTGGGCCAGGCGAAGGGACTCACCTGTGTGCTCTGACACTTGGCTGATCTGCTGCACTTGCAGGACCCCTGCCTGCTGGCCTGAGGAGGAGGGCCCCATTTCAGTCCTGCCCTGCCCCTGGCACCCTCATGTTTCTCACCTGTGACAGGTCAGTGGCACTGGGTGGCCCACACACAAGGCCGCTCCCTGTGCCAGTCTACATAGCAGGCACTTCTCCTGGCTGAGCCAGCCTGAGGCCGTGGGGAAATGCTGTTTTCACTTTGCACACTAATTACAAGTTGTCCCTTAAATAGGTGTCGCTCATAACAAGGTTTTAGCTGAGGATGGAAGCTGTCCTGTCCTGTTTCCTTGTGGTCAGTGGCGCTGCCACTGACGCCGGGTGAGGGAAAGGCCTCACATACGGACATGACAGTTCTCACCAGCGTGTGCGATCCCGTGGGGGCCAGTGCAGATGAAACCTTAGCTCACAAACTTGACTGCAGACAGGAAAGGGAAGGTGGTGACCGGCCCCCGCTGTGTGCCAGAGGCCCTGCCTGCGGGAGCTGCCCCGATGGTCAAAGCGGGGGACCGAGTGGGCGGTGGCCCCCAGCTCCCGCTGAGCTGAGGCTCAGAGGGTTAGATCATGGCCAGGCTCACCCAGCGTGGGGTGGGGGCCGAGTCTTCATAGAGCACCAGACTTTCCTGCTGTCAGCAGTGGGGTGCAGGCAGAAGAGCCTTTAGGTGGAGGAAGCAGCCCAGGAAAAATCGGAAATGCTGGGTTTGGGGGGAACAGGAGGAGTAGGGGGGTTAGGGAGGCCTTTCCCTCACCCGGCGTTAATGACTGCTGCCTGGTGTTGTGAGAGAGGCTGCTGGGAACATGCTTTTCTGAGGGCTGGCGGGGTGGGCACAGGCACTTGGACAGATGTGTCTGCAGCAGGTGCCTTTGAGGTGGCCCCAGCGTCACGGGCCCTAACTGGCCTGGCTGGGCTTGCATATCAACCCATTCCCTTCCCACTCTCCTAACAGTCATGTGGAATGTGTGGGGCATCCCTAGACAGCCCCAGTGACACCTTCCTTCCCAGGGTCCTCTCCAGGCTGTCCCCTGGTGGTGGGGTCATGCTTCCCTGTTGTTGTGAGGGGTCAGTGACAAGTGCTTGGCCAGTGGAGGTGCTCATGAGGGTTGGTGTCCTTGGTGTTGGCGTTTTGGGGGCCAGGAGATAGTCATCTTCCCACGTCTGGGCTGTTGACATATATCTAGGGAAGGTCCCCACGCCGGGTCTGCGGCAGGCACCTAACACTGGTTCGGTAAGGAGCTGAGTGTGGTGTCTGTGTCTGACACCGTGGCCTGCTGTCCTCCTAGGTCATTTCTGCACTGGCTCTTGTGGGGCCTGTGTGAACTTCCCTCTCTCTCCTTATAAGCACCTGCCAGTTTAATAGGTGAGTGAGGATTCCTTAAAGAGCGGGGCCTTATTAAGGAGCCTAGGATGACTGAGCCACGAGAGGGGAGGAGCCTGCATGGACCTGTCTCCATGACAGGGAGCAAGGTGTCGCTGCTGCTTCCACGCCCAGGGCACCCCGAAAGGCCCGAGTGGCAGCTTTTCTGTGACTCCTGCTTAATCAGGCACATTAGTCACCTTGCACAGCCCCAAACAAACAGAAAATGGACTTACATAACTCGCATCTTGCATTCTCAGAAATCGCTAATGGGTGTGGGAGGGCATGGGGCCTTGTTTGAGGTTCTAAGTCATTGGCCAATTGGGCACTTTGCTGTCAGTGGTAATTTGGAGCAATAAACCTTTATTCTAGAATCCTGAAATGAGATAAGGTGTCAGCCTGCCCTTGGGCCCTGAAGGCGACCTTTCGTTCCACAGATAGGGTGATCCGAGCAGGAGATCTCACGGCAGCCATCTGCTTTGCAAAGTGTATTAGAGACAATGTTCAGTTAATACTTGATAGTAATATCAATATACTAAATAATATGAAATGCTGTCTTTAATGTGTGAGTAGTAGACCCATTTCAAGCTGAAGATGAAATAACTTTGTTTAAAATGTCAGACTCACCTGTGCCCCAGTTTGCCTAGACGAGACTGTATCCCGGGACATTCCGAGGGCCCTGGTCCCCTTGGTCTACAGGCGCCTTTCTCCCTCAGGCAGCACAGCCCTGGCCATGCCCTGAATTGGTCTGGTCCCGCTGGACGGGTGTTTGCCATTCCCATGGATGGCCCTGGTCCTGCTGTTGAGGAAGCAGGGGGTGGGTGGGGGAGCACAGGCCAGGCAGGTCCTGCAGGGCAGGTGGGAAAGGGCTGGAGGGGAGGAGGAGAACTCTGCAGGCGGAGGGTCAGCGGCCATCAGGGAATTCTGATTTCTGAGTTTGCATTTTGATATCAGAGCTTTTAACATAGAATTTATGCTAATTTCCCTTCACCGAGTACATTTAAAGCTGTGGTTATGTCGGAAAGTGGCAGAAATGAAGGTAAAGGGCTGCCCATGAGGTGGGGCGGGGGTGCCAAGATGCCGGCATGGCCGTGAGCTTTCTGGATCTGCAGGGTTGGGGTGATGAGCTCATTCTGGGGAACTGGCGCTTTCCTTTCCAGAGTGGGGAATTTCTTGAAGGCCAGGGTACGGACAGCTGCCAGGGGTCCAGAAGCGCCCAGGCTGGCTGCCCTTGTGGACCCATGCCTGGCACAGCCTGGCCACAGAAGCTGGGGCAGGTCCAGTTTGGCAGGCTTTCTTCCCATCACCTCCCTGCAGAGGTGGTCAGAGGCCCCTGAAGGATCGGGCTGCCAGTCCTGCTTCTCCCTGCCTTCAGCGGTGATGATGACATTGGGACATTGGCTCACCGTGAGCTGGCACAATGAGCCCAGAGTTAGGTCCTGGCTCAGCCCCAGTTCTGGCGCTCCACAGGAGTGTTTGAGGAGGAGCCTAGAGCTGATGGGGAGGCTTAAAGGAATCCATCAGCCTCGAAGGAGACTATAAAGGGGCTGTTTTCCATGTGGATTCTGAGCCCCTTAATGCCAGCGCCTGTGGCCTATTCCCACACACAGCGCTTCAGCGGCTTCCGAGGATGTGGGGGGTCTGAGGGGCAGCGAGGATCCCCCCAGGAGTCTGTGTGGCTTTCACTTCCTCCAGTGGGGGGTCTGGGAGCTGTCAGGACACCTTTGTGCAAAGGAGACTAGGAGGTGGAGGTGGGCCGAGTGGCTGGGCTCCAGGCGCCCCTCCAGGCTGGTAGCCCCTGGGATGGAGATGTGTTTCCGCCCTTGATTTGGGTGCCATGTTTAGTGGAGGAGTCAGCAAGCGTCTGTTGATTACAGAATGTTCCAGGTGGAGGACGAGGTTGTGTGGTGTGTGTTTTGCTCACTTTAAAGGGCTTCTGAAGGTGCAGTTCCCTTTAAAGAGCCTGCTGCCACTTGCCCGCCTGCCCAGCGGGCCCGGTTGTGGAACTGGATTGCTGAGCACCAACCTGGTCAGCCTCGCTTTCATGTGTCGTCTGAAAACCCGGAAACGCTAAGCGTTGCCTTTTGCCCTCATGCCGACGTAGGCTGTGGACAGAGGCAGGTGACAGTTCTGGTTTCTTGCTCCCGGTGAATTCCTTCCTTAAACTGTCACTTCCCCCCATCCATCAGCTCCGAATGGCTTCAGACTGGTCTTCCTAAGCCTCCGTGCTCGCCTGCCCGCCTGCCAGGGAGATGGGTCATGGCTCGCTCTCGGGTGTCAGGGACCCGTACCGTCAGACGTGGCGGGATGTTGACCAGGCCCCTGAAGTGGCAGCCGCAATGCGGTGCCCGGCACAGCACCCCAGCGCCTGCTGAGCCGCCTCTGCCCGCTCTGTTGCAGATTTCTGACTTTGGGCTGGCCAAGTGCAACGGGCTGTCCCACTCACACGACCTCAGCATGGACGGCCTGTTCGGGACCATCGCCTACCTGCCTCCAGAGCGCATCCGAGAGAAGAGCCGGCTCTTTGACACCAAGCACGACGTGTACAGGTGTGTATAGCTGTGCAGCCCCTAGGCCCCTGCGTGTCAGGCCCGCAGGGTCGCTCTACCCCAATTCTTCATGCTCTGAAGGGCAGTTTTCCCAGAGACTCTTTGCTACCATCAGATATGAGGTTCAGTCTAAATGAAAGGGTTTGGGGTTGTTAGCCGGTGGGTATAGGCTGCCCCAGGTATACAGACTCTCCTTGGAACACAGGGTGCGCCTGTTGCTGGCCATGGGCGGAGGATGTGAATGGTTGGTGCCGTGAGGGCCAGTTACATAACAGACTGACAACTTCCGCACTGGAAACTCGCTTTAAACCGTGGGTCGTGTATCTTGTCTGTGGAAAGAAGCTGCTGCTTTCAGTGTCTGTGATTCAGGCTCTCCTACACCCAGTCCCCTGGGGCCCGGCAGCCTGGACCTCCTATCGTCACTTACCTTCGACAGGAACACAGACAGCCACAGCCTGTTTGGAGGTGAGCGTCAGTGCATTGTGCACCAGAGCAGCGATTTTCAGCCTTTCTCCTCCCGTGCCACAGACACTCATTACTAGAATTCTGCGGCACACCAAAAGATAGATTTTTTTGGCAGTCTGACAAAGAATAGGTATAATTTTGATTCATTCACACCGAATGGCTATTGTTGCATTGGCTGTTGTCATTTCTTAATTTGACAATCAAAGGAAGAAGAGGTCAGTGTCCCTGACCAAATAGGCAGGTACTGCATGTTTTAAACATTCTTGTGCACACAGGTCCCGAGTCGTTTAGGCCTTCCTTTTCCAAATTGTAAAGGTCCTGATGACAAAGCTTCTGGGAGGAGAAAAGAGGGAGGGAGGCTGCACGCAGGCCCTTAAGCCCCTCATTGTGGCTGCTGTCTGACGCAAGGGGACTGTGGCCCTAGGCCCCGGAGGGAGCACCCGAGCTTTCCCTTTTGTCCCTGTCCCTGCCTGAGTCCTGGTGGACTGGTTTGACAATAAAACGATTGTGCGTGTGCTGAGCAGGCTTGGAGCTGCAGGCTGCTGGCGAATGGCACTGGGGTGCTTGTCACAGCTTGCAGGGTTCAGGGGAATCCGATTATTTATGTTAGAGCGGAGAGTTTAAAAGCCTGAATGCATAAATTTTCATTAATATTCAATGGAGACTTCTTGTCAACAGCTGCTGTCAGCTCAGGGCAGAAAACGATTGTGCGTGTGCTGAGCAGGCTTGGAGCTGCAGGCTGCTGGCGAATGGCACTGGGGTGCTTGTCACAGCTTGCAGGGTTCAGGGGAATCCGATTATTTATGTTAGAGCGGAGAGTTTAAAAGCCTGAATGCATAAATTTTCATTAATATTCAATGGAGACTTCTTGTCAACAGCTGCTGTCAGCTCAGGGCAGGGTGGGGCTCAGTGTTTGGACTCCTGTTTTTTTTATATTTTACTAGAGGCCTGGTGCACGAAATTCGGGATCCCTGTGGGATTGGGCCTAAACTGGCAGTCAGACATCCCTCTCACAGTATGGGACCCCTGGCTCCTAACCGCTCGCCTGCCTGTCTGCCTGCTGGCTCCTAACCACTCACCTGCCTGCCTGCCTGATTGCCACAAACTGCCCTCCCCTGCCGACCTGATCTTGCCCTCAGCTGCCCTCCCCTGTTGGCCTGATCACCCCCAACTGCCTCTGCCTGCCTGATTACGACTAACTGCCCTCCCCTGCTGTCCTGATCTTGCCCCCAACTGATCTCCCCTGCTGGTCTGATCTCACCCCCAAGTGCCCTCCCCTGCCTGCCTGATTGCCCCTAATTGCCTCTGCCTCACCCCCACCACTGCGGCTTCATCTGGAAGGACATCCAGAAGGTCGTTCAGCTGTCCAGTCTAATTAGCATATTACACTTTTATTATTATAGAATTTTTAAAAAATTTATCAGATTGAGCTATTTGTTGGTGTATCCACAGTAATTTTCTATATTATGTATACAGGGTGGGGCAAAAATAGGCTTACTGTTGTTCTTATAGAAAATAATACAATGATTAATAAATAATAATACAAGAATAAACTGTTCTGCCAACTCACAACTGTAAACCTTTTGCCACACCCTGTACATAATTTCCAGCAACCAGGAAGGGCTCAGGAAGGCTCATCTGGTTGCCAGCATGTTTTCCATGCACTTTCTCAGCCCTTGATGGACTCTCAGTGGGCAAGTTATGCCAGGCCCAGAGCTGCAGTCGGCACGGGGCGCCCAGTGTTGGAGGGAGGTCATGTGAACTCAGCCATCATGGCCCCTCTGGCCACGAGCTGACAGTGGCAGCCTTTTCGGGGTTCCCGCGTGGTGGTGGAACTTACAGCTTCGCTGGCAAGGTGTGGTCCATTGTTTAACACCTGAGCCACCAATGGGACATGTGCCCCCATCATGTGCCTGTTTAAAAAAAAATCATGAGAAACGTTTTGATGTCATCTCTCTGTTTTGAGGGCCGGAGGGGCTTTCTTCACACGTGTTGCTTATTCACAGACACTAACCTGCCGATTTCCCTCCAGCTTCGCCATCGTGATCTGGGGCGTGCTGACGCAGAAGAAGCCATTTGCAGGTGAGTGGACGTACCTTTGGGGGCTGTGCCCTGTCTCCCCCGGGATGGGGCGGGCATGCTGTGCGGCGCTTCCTCTGCTTTAGCCGTGCCTGTGGTCCACATGCCCACGGCGGGGCTGCCCTGAGGGAGTGGGGTGCTCTGTCCTGCCCACCAAGTTGGCACGAGATCCACGGCAGGTGGTCCTGTGTGCCCATGGCATGTTCTTGAGGTGTCATTCATGTACAGGAGGAGGCACAGACCCGAGGTGGAGTTGTCAGGTGCCAGCATGTGTGATGTAATACACAAACATGAAATTTATCATTATAGCCATTTAACGTGCACAGTTCAGTGGCATTTATTAGCGCATTCACAGTGTTGTACAGTCAGCATTACTCTCTAGTTCCAGAACATTCTCATCCCCCCAAAGGAACCCTGTGCCCATTAAGCAGTCACTCCACCACCCGAGTCCCCAGCGCCTGCTAATCCACTTTCTGCCTGTGCATTGGCCTGTTGTGGTTACTCCCAGCCAGTTCTTTTCCTTTTTGACATTTTCCAAGTTTTAATTGTGATTTTAATTATGTTACACATGACGTGACATTGACCACCTTAACCATTTTTAAGTGTACAGTTTGCTCATGTAAAGTCCACGCATAGTGCTGGGCCCCCGATGCCAGTGATTCTGACACAAATGGGTGACCCAGGTCACCAGCACCCACTCCAGAGCTGAAGTACTTCTCCCCCTGTAGTCAAACGCTGTTCTGGTTTCTGCCTCGACTTGGTACCACACTTACTGTAAAAGTCAGGCACTTTTTTGCCTTGTTGGAAAGTTTCTTTTCCTCTGTAAGCATATCTGGGCCACTTGTAATATTGTGGCCTAACCAGTAATACCCCAAAATGCAGGTCACAGTCCCCCTGGGGCCCCAGGTCCTGGAGCCTTTGCCGCTTGAGACGCAGATGAGGCCGTGGTAGGCTCCTGTCCATATTGTCCTTCCACCTGGCACCCGGTTTCCTAACCCCCCTCCTCTGTGAGGTCCACGGTCTGGATGACGACTGCGTGGCAGCGAGCTGGTCGGGCATGACATTGTCTGGTGGATGCAACACCCAAGGCCAGGTGCCTGATGTTGACACCGGGAGGCAGGCCCGCGTGCTCTATTGCGTGGTAGATAGGCGAGTTCAAGGTGCGGGAGCAGAAGGCGTCTGGTGGACTTTTCCCATCTGCGTGGGAGCAGGACATCCTCCAGGTGTTTAGTGTACGTTGGGTTTTTGGAAGTCTGAGGGCTCATGGAAATAATGTGTCGCTACCTGAGATAGTTATTGCACAAGATTTAACGGGGAAGTGGAACAAAACATCAGAGCCAGATCCTAGCAGCGGTCAGGGACTTTGGGCCAATTTTCCACACCTGCTAATCTGCCCGGACGCAGACTCCTGCGCTCCGTGGGAAAGCAGAGAGCTGCGGGGGTGGGAGGCCTGGTGGGAGCAAGATTCTTGGAATCCAGCTTCACGGACCATGTGGTGTCGGCTGAGCAGAGAGAGGAGTCTGGCTTGCTGAGGGCGCCCTGGGTCCCCTCAGCCTGTGGCCAGGATGATGATGATGGTAATGATATGCTAATGAGCCCAGGTGTGTCTCTGAAGGATGTTGGAAAGGAGGACAGGTGGGGCCCCATGTGATGAATTTTGGGGGGAAAGGCCCCTGTTTGCACACCCCAGACCTGAGCAATGCAAAGGCCACCTGGGGGTCTGCACTTGGGTGGGGATAGGACTTGGAATTCAGGAAGACTGGTGTCATCCCAGGGAGACGTGGGTGCACCTGGGGACTGGGCCATGCCACCCCAAGATGGATACGGTGCCTCCCCTGATGGGCACGGCCACTGGGAACATGTCTCGTCAGATACTTTGAACCTGGTTTCCTTTGCGTTGGCTGCCCAGAAAGATTTCCCTTGTGATACAGCATGAGGATCCCACTGGGAGCTGCTAGGTCGTTTCTAAAGCCTGGGAGGGGAGAACAGACGTGCCCCGTGAACATACACTGCCCGGTTATGGGTGCGTTGGGGTGTCACTTCCTTTGTCCCTGTTCCATCCTTGAGGTGGCACATTCGTGTGGAGCTTTCGGAAGAACCAGTGGTCTCCAGGCCAGACATGCCCCTGGGCGCTTCCCCATAGCTGTGTCTCCTCCGGAGCTAAGGGGCCAGCTCTGCCCTGACTCGTCTGCCTTTCCCCTGCAGATGAGAAAAACATCCTGCACATCATGGTGAAGGTGGTGAAGGGCCACCGCCCGGAGCTGCCGCCCGTCTGCAGAGCCAGGCCGCGGGCCTGCAGCCACCTGCTGCGCCTCATGCAGCGATGCTGGCACGGCGACCCCCGCGAGCGGCCCACCTTCCAAGGTGAGACCGGAGACGGCGCCGTCTCAGTGCTCCCAAGTGTGGCTGCCCTGTCCACCTGCCGGTGTCCCGGGCGAGATGACCAGGACGGGGCTGGGGAGAGGGCCAGAGGAGGAGGCTGTGAGAGACGGTGTCCCCAGCCAGGCCTGCAGGATCGGGTTGGCCCTGGCACCTGCCCATGGCCCTCGGTGACAGGGCCGGGTGGGCAGCTGGAACTGGAAGGTCAGCTCTAGCCGCCCATCCCCGCTGCAGCCAGGGCTGGGCCTGCTGCCCAGAGGACCCTGTGCTTGGTGGTTCAGGTTCCCATACAGCGAGGCCTCTTTGAGGGTTGGTGTGACTTCCGGACCGAGGCTTCCTTCGCCTTTTTCTCCGGGTGGAACGGGTGTAGTTTGGTTGGGAAGAGATCCTGGTGGAATTAAAACTGACCATTGCATTTAAAGCACAGGGGACACACAAACGGGGGCTCATGTGCCGGGTGCTGGTGGGCTTGCACTCTCCCTGCCCTACTCCTGAGGGCTTCTTTGGGAATCTGGAACACCTTGACTCCTGCTGGAGTCAGGTGAGACCTGCAGAAGTTGCTGACGGGAGGCCCCGGTTTGGTCCCTGTGGGGCATGGTGGTGACCTGCAAGCTCAGCTGGGGCCAGCCGTGGAGAGACCGGTGCTGCCCGGGTCCCTGAGTTATGGGTGCGTTGGGGTGTCACTTCCTTTGTCCCTGTTCCATCCTTGAGGTGGCACATTCGTGTGGAGCGTATGCGGAGGTCATTGTCCAAGTGACGAGCCCTTCTTTGTTTTCTCCTCAAAAGAAATCACTTCGGAGACGGAGGACCTGTGTGAGAAACCCGACGAGGAGGTGAAAGAGGCAACTCAGGACCTGGATGTAAAAGACCCTCCGGAGCCCAAGACGGAGGTACGGGGGCTCCCGAGGCGGCCTTTGTGCCGCGTGGAGATTGAGTGTTCCAACCCCGGGCCCCTTTTCCACAAAATCCCCCCGCCAGCCTGGGTCCTCGTGCCCTCGTTCTGCGGCCCAGCCTGCCCTGGGAGCCCCACTCACATCTGTTCCCAGGACAGGTCGGCGGGTCCCCTGGCAGGCTCGGTGGCCCCAGGGGAGCCTGGCTCTGTCCCATCCCCACCACCTGTCTGGTTACGAATGAACAGTGACATGGAAAGCTAATGCTGCCAGGTGGATGTCGTCTCAGTCAGCCCTGCCAGGCCCTGTTGGGTGGGAGGGGGGTGAGGGGGGAGCGCCTGGGCTCTGGGGTTTGCCTGTCATGAACGATTTGTTCTGTGAGTGCCACACAGGTGATGTAAGGTGTGATAAGAAACTCCAAGGGTAGGCCACACTAAGTACGCTCAGGTGCTAGACCTGTTATGCGAAGCCTGGTAATCACTAACCTTACAGCGCGTTATCTGCTGTCGGGCAGTGCACCCCGGGCCGCTGGTGTGAGGCTGCGGTGACGTGAGCATTTATGGTGTGTGTTTCCACTGTCTGAACAGCATGTGCGTGAGGTTGGGGAGCAAAGGTGTCCCGGGGAGGCAGCCAGGCCCTCCCCACCCCTCAAGGAAAAGAAAGGCATCCAACAAGTGGGTGTGACTCCGCGCACCAAACACCAGCTCAGAGCAGATGAGCAATTCCCAGAAGAGGGGAGGGTTTGGGGTCACATGGGCCCGATGGGGGAAGAGTCCTGAGTCGACTCAGACTTTGATCACTCACCAGAAATCTGCCTCCGTCCCTGTTAGAGGAGGCCCTATAGAGCAGCGGTTGCCAACCGGTGGCCCGTGAGGTCCGAAAGGTTGGCAACTGCTGCTATAGAGGGTGGGTCACAGCGTTGTCACTGTAGCTGGGCCCTGCCCTGCCCTTGTCCAAACCGGGCCCCAAGCCAGATGTGCACAGCTCAAAGGACAGGTCGCAGGTTGCAGACAATGTGGGGAGGGCAGGGGAGCCCCAGTCCCGGTAGCGCCAGTCCCACCTCTTTTCCTCGTTTCTACCAGCACTGACCTGTTCTGATGGACACGGCCCAGCAACCAGCTTCATGCTTTTGCAGCCTGTCTGGGCCACAGGCCCGCCCTCCGCCTTTTGTCCAAGTAATGCTGTGTGCCACACCCCTCTGCGGATGGGGTCCAGGGCAGCCTGGGGCCGGGCTTCCCGCTTTTTTGTCAAGCCTGTCTGTCCTTACCTGGTCTTCCCACCCAGTGGGCCAGTGCGGTGTCATTGGGCTCCAGGGTGCCCTGCGTATGACAGCAGGCATTATGTTCCCAGCGTGACAAACCAGGACTGCATTTTCCCCTCCCCTCCTCTGCCTCCCCCCTCGGTGGCGGACGGAGCCTCATCCACCTCCCTGTGCGGTCCTCACAGGCGCCTGTGTCCACACCCCTCAAGCGAGCCTCGGCCCCGGCCTTCGACAAGGACTACAGCCTCTCCGAGCTGCTGTCCCAGCTGGACTCTGGCATCTCCCAGACGCTTGAGGGCCCGGACGAGCTCAGCCGCAGCTCCTCCGAATCCAAACTCCCATCGGCGGACAGTGGCAAGCGGCTGTCGGGCGTGTCCTCCGTCGATTCTGCCTTCTCCTCCAGAGGGTCCTTGTCCCTGTCTTTCGAGCGGGAGCCTTCCACGGGCGGTGAGTAGGGGCCCTGTGCCCTGGGAAATAGCGTGGTTATGGGGCTGGCGGCGGGCAGGCTGTGGTGATGTCCCTGAGCGTCTGCAAGAAGGAGGCGTCCTGGTTCCTGACTTGACAGTAATGCTTTGTTTTCTCCCTCCCGCCACTGATGGGTTCTGGGTGTCCGTGGCATGGTGGGCTCACTGAGTCCAAATCCAGAGGTGGGCGCTGGCCCAACTGGTGCCCCTTAGTGTGGATTGATGGGCCACACACCTGGCCATGCAAGAGGGTCTTACCTGGGCCGGCACCGGTGCAGGGGCGGACCTCAGGTTTCCACATGGAAAACCCCGAGTTGCATCCAGCCAGACCAGCAGACGAATCGAACCCCACATCCTGGATCTCTCTTGTGGAGGCCAGACCTGTGCCCCTTTCCTAGTGCTGGGTAAACACCCCATCCTGCTTGTTCATGGGCTCCCCACTCACTGTGGCCACGCGTTATAATGAATGAGTTGTCCTTGGAGGTTAGAACACCTGCCTGTCCGAGGGGCGGGTCTCAGCTCATCTTTTGATGTTAATTTTGATGGGGTTTTGTTTTAGAAGGCGCTTTTCCCTGCCCCTGCTCCGGGTGCTGGTTTGTGGGTGTTGGGGGCTGGTCTGTTGCTCCCTCACTGTTGCAGCCTCCTTCCTTCCTTCCTCCTCCCTCCCTCCCTCCCTTCTTCCTGTTAGCAATCACTGCCATTTCTGACAGCCAGCGGGGGCCTGAGTTTTACATCCTTTGTCTAAGCCGCGTGGCTAAAACGATTTTCATTTTGCAATCGACATGAGCCCCTTGGGGCCATTAATTGACCTGCGCAGGGTCTGCCCACTAGATCTAAAATCAAACCAGCAGGGACAACATGACACTTAAGCAATTCCAGGTAACGGGCCACCTGGAGGCCGTGGGGAGGAGTGGGCGGCATCAGGACAGCAGCCCGGCTTCGAGAAGCCTGCGGGCAGTGGCCTCGTCTGACCCCTGCACCCGCTTTCCCCGCAGATCTTGGCACGACCGACATCCAGAAGAGGAAGCTGGTGGAGGCCATCGTGACTGGGGACACCAGCCGGCTGATGAAGATCCTGCAGCCGCAGGACGTGGACCTGGTGCTGGAGGGCGGCGCCAGCCTGCTGCACCTGGCCGTGGAGGCCGGGCAGGAGGAGTGCGTCAAGTGGCTCCTCCTCAACAACGCCAACCCCAACCTGACCAACAGGAAGGGCTCCACCCCACTGCACCTGGCCGTGGAGAAGAGGGTGCGGGGCGTCGTGGAGCTCCTGCTGGCCCGGAAGATCAGCGTCAACGCCACGGACGAGGACCAGTGGACGGCCCTGCACTTCGCGGCCCAGAACGGGGACGAGTGCAGCACGCGGCTGCTGCTGGAGAAGAACGCCTCCATCAACGAGGCCGACTGCGAGGGCCGCACGCCCATGCACGTGGCCTGCCA